GTTGTGCACGAACAATGAATCATGGAACACTTCATCTAGAACTAATGATGTAATGTATGGGGATTAACATAAGAATTAAAAAAAAAATAAGAAAAAAAAAAGAGTTTGGAGTCATTGAGGTACTTTTTTTACATTACATGTTTCAAATTTGGATTATTGATTTCCTATGGGAAAAGATGAAAATGACAGCATTTCTTCCCACCTTCATATTTCTTCCCATCCTTCCATCTCCACATATACAAATGATAAATTATTCTTTTTTTACTGTCAAGGCTTTAACATTTACATTCCATTCTGTAACCTAACTATAATTTCCATAGTTGGTTAGCCCTAAGCTTATATGTAAAAGGATTTAATGCTGACCATCAGTCTCTTTACGATCGCTCACCATTCCCTAGTTTATGATTTTGATTTATGTCTTGTTTAGCTGGATTTTATTATCCAATAGTTTTCCTAGAAGGGCTCAGAGGTGCTGTTTCCTGAATTCTAGTATGTTTAAAAATATTATCTTTATTCTTGAAGGACAGCTTGGATAGTTTTAAATTCTGGGTCATTCTTTCCCTCAGAACTTGGTAGATGCTACACTGTATTTAATGTTGTAGAGAAGTCTGAGACCAGCTGATTTCCAGCAGCCCTCAATCTCCACCTCTCCCTGTAGATGGGTTACTCTTTCCATGAGGGCAGTTGGAGAAGCACTTCTTTATACATATACATACATATATGGATATGGATATACATATATATATGGATATGGATATATATATGAAGAAATATATATATATATTTTTTTTTTTTCCTTAACATGGCATGCTCTTTCAATCTGCAAGTTCAGCTTTTCCTTCAAGTGAGGAAAATTTTCCTCTCCTGTATCTTTGAATATGTTCATTATTCCTTTTGTTTTGTTCACTAGTTCAAAAACACCACAATCTAAATTTCTCACCAATATCTCAACTACAGGTCCATTATTTAATCTCTAAATACTTTAGTCGTTCTTTCTTAGTTGCCATGTAGTTGCCATGACATTGTTTTCATTTTATTTCTTTTTTTTATTTTTATTTATTTATTTTTTAAATTTTATTATGTTATGTTAGTCACCATACAATACATCATTAGTTTTTGATGTAGTGATCCACGATCCATTGTTT